GGGAAAGAGAAGTTTGCTCTAGAGATGCCCAAGAGCCTAGCAAGAAACTGTAAATGCAGCTACTCTTACTCTAGGCTCAATCTGGTCAACCTGCACAGCATCTTCTTTCTACTTACGGCAGCAAGACTACACAGAAAATCAGCATGCAGAACTGGTCTCTCTGTGCTTCTCACCGATGCACAGAAATGGGGAGAGTCCTGAGCCAACAAACTGCAATTACTGAAAAGGAATAAAAGAAAGCGCAGAGAGCTTGCCAGCACCTCTTCCACTAACACCCCAGTTCTGAAGTTGTGTGAAACTAGAGTCTGCCAGTTTCAGGTGAGAGCTCCCCTTACATCTGCCCAGAATCCCCTCTCAAGGACATTTTTTGCATGATTTGGAATATTCCTGAGGCTCTATAGTGAAGGAGGATGTGGCACCAATTCAGCCCTTATTTCTTTCAAAAGGTGGATGGCACAGCCTTTCGGCAAATAAAAGTGGCCCAGCACTCCCCTGAGGTCTGTCTGCCCTGTTCCCTCAAGTGTTTCAGCAAACAGAAAGCGAGACAAAAAGCACGTGATGAGGCAGAATGTACTACCAAGCTCTTTCCTCCAGGGTTCCATCCAAAAGGAGAGGTTATGGCAGAAAAAACACCAGCGCTCTGTCACTGGTGACAGCCCTTTCTGCTTACCCCTGCACCTGCAAGACTCTAAAGCCTCTCACCCTAGAGGACACACAGAGAAGGTAGCACCTTGTCACCTTTTTGGTTACTTCCCCAGCCTTACCAGAGCAGCAGCCAAAGGCACAGAGCTTCATTTCTCTGCTCTCACGCAAGAGGCAAAGAGTTTGCTTCTTCCAGCTCGCCAAAGCAGTTCTAGTCCCACTCTAGCCTCAAAGTAGCATCATCCCACCTCGCTCTCTCCCATTCAGGTACAAAGGATCATAACCTGCCCAACCTCTCCTCGCTTGTTCCTTCTGTGAAGGATGTGACTAACTGACAAGGCTCAGAGACCAGGAGACCACTCCAACTCAAAAATGAAACCAGGGAATAGACAGCAACACAAGCGTTCCCAGAGGATCTGCAGACGACTTCTGTCCGAGTTCACTAAATATCCAGGGGACAGCAGCTCTGCAATGTTCTGCAAGACTATGTACTGGTTTCGTAAGAATGGTTTATTGGAGTCAGGGTCAAATGCTTCTGCGAGATCAATGCTTCTGACTGTAAATCCTGACATTCAAAACTCAAAATACAGCCAAAGACAAGAGTGACAGACTACAAGGGCATGTTGCCTAAGCAGGGCATGGAGAGGTGACAGCGTCCGGCTGTTACGCAGGCTTGGG